GGTCAGGGCCATTCAGCGACCCCTGAGAAGTTGGATACAAGATGAAGATACATTAGTGATGAAAGCACATAGGGCTGGAGAACTGGCTATAGAAAGAGACTTTCAGCCGTACAGTGAAGAAAGCGAGACCTGCTTACTGATGATAATGCATTACCCAATAAACCTACAAAAAGGCTGGAAGTTCTTCTTCTTCTTCTTTGTTCACCGGCTGTAGGTCCATTTGGACTTTGGCTTTGTGCCAGGGCCTGAGATTTGCTTGTACATCCGTTTTACTGACTTACTTGAGTGCAGTTGATTGTTCCTTGACACTAGGGCAGATGTACTCCGACTTCAAGGGAAGTCTCCAGTTAGTTGCTCCAATGACATGCTTGTTGGGGAGGCAGTGGGTTTATTTTTGTTGTCCCCACAAGGGGCCTCGGAACGCACACAGGAAAGTTATTGTGACATTTTTTTTTCTTAACGTTTCACAGTTTGCCATTTAAAAAGTCCCTATCACACTCGTACCCAGAGCTTTTTCTAGTGGTATGCAACAGTATGCATTACTGGCACTTTTTAATGCACCTTTTATGCAGCAGTACTGTAGTAGAATTTTTGTAGTGAGTACTTGTATCTTTCTTTTTTTTAAAGACAATTTGTGGTGAGTAAAGTAGAGTCCTTTTCCATGCCTTCAGATGTTTTGGGCATATAGGGCTAGACCTATATTTTTTAGACAATTGGCACTTGGGGGGGGGGGGGGTGATATGGTCAGTATATGCTGACCGCCTTTACTTCTCAGGACTATCTGGTACCCATTTAAAACCATGTCAGCCTGGGAGTCAAGGTCATTAAAAAAAATTGTTACGAGTAACAGCAACTTTTTGTTGTTGTTGTTGAGATTTTGTGGTGAGTACCAGCACTATTGTTCTAGAACAAAAAAAAACAAAAAACCTGCTCGTTCCACTGTAAAGATGCAGGCCAGCTATCAAATCTCCTGCAGCTGCCTTTGAACATCGGACCTGTTCACATTTCCTGCCCCATCTACACACTTTCTCAGTCTGATCTAGGTCAGAGAGGGGTCTCGTTGTACTGCTTTCTTTAAAAAGAGGTTAACGTGTGACCTAGGCTCAGGCTTTGGTTGGGGGATTTCGGGTAAGGACCAGCTCTACATGTGTCATCGTGTAGTATAGATTACGCAACATCTGCACTGATGTAAATGGAGGAAAGACAATGTGACACCCCCTCCGATGTAGAAGAGTCTGAGAAAGTGTGAATGAAAGGTTAGGTAGTGTGTAGATGGGCCTGGAAACATGAACAGGACCTGAACATCGGCATACAGAGACTAAAACCCACTCTCAGCTTCTCAGCACACATACCAACATTGCAGAAAGTAGATACACAAACAGGGATCTTAAAAAATTATGAATTTATACATTTATTCCCCAAAAATTGTTATAATAATATTAATAATGCCTTTATATCATTATGTTCTATTTCATATAATTGTGTTTATTTTGAAGTTCTCCAGAAACTTCTTTCCCATAATAACAAATTGCACTTCTGTCTTCCTCTGGTTCTCATTCTTCATTATTAAAAAAAAAAACATACCATGAGAACTTCGGTAATTGTAAAGTTGCTCTCCCCATTTACACAGTGTTCCACACTAGGTCACTTCTGATGGTCGACTTTCAGCATAGCTCACATCTGACTGGTCGACCTTGAGCCACATGGCCTTGACAAAAGGTTACATGGGTGTTCTGCAATGCCGTTGATATCACATCTTGTATTTATCAGCACGCCAGCGCTTTTACCACTCCAAAAACATCGACAAACTGGGTTTAACACAAAACCCCTTTAGAGAGTGATGAAACCTATGTCACAGGCATTCTCTTTCTCGGAATAAAAACATAAATGCAAGACAATCCAGAAAGCAAACAACAGAGCGTCACACCCACAACCTCTACCAAGGTAGACCAGTCCAAAAAAACTTATCAATGGAACGTGACCTACTTTGTTTGGGGAGACTAACATTTGTTTAAACATAACTTCTTACACATTCCTCATTTACCATATTCAAATTTTGACCGTTTCACCACCTTCATGTTATCAAGTAAAGAGCCTTTTCTGTGTGCTCTTATTTATCACACAGGTGCTTTACACAAAGTGCTTGTACAATTTTTTTTTCTGCCACTGTATTTTTTTTAGATGTCAAAAACTCTGGACCAATTTACTTCTTGATCACAGCTATTGCCAGGCAACAGACTGACTCATCCTGGCAAGGCAGATCCTGTCAAGTCTTGTAAATACAAAAATGCAGATCTCAAAGAGAATTCTGAGGACCGAAACAAATCAGTACATTACTTGATAAGCCTACTATGAATACCTAAATAATTATTTGTAAATTAACTGACATTAAATAACTAACTACTAAGCAACTCAATATGTGTTTGTTGGTATCTTCATATTTTATACAGGGTCTCTCACAAATGTCCATATGCAAGGAAAAAATACCATATTTATATGTGTATAGGCCACGCTATTTTTAACCGAAAAATAGTTGATGAAAAACAGGGTGCTGCTTATGTGTGAGACATCAGGTCTACATGTCAATTGTACAAAATGTATTAATAAACAATACACCATTTGGAAATATATTATAAAAACAATACCGGTAATTGATACCATTGTTGTCTGCTGAGAAGTGGTTGTCCGAACAGTTAGCATGCTGGGCTCTCATGTGGGAAACCCGGGTTTGAATCCTCAGTAAGGCTGGGGATTTTTTGTAGTTGACGGGGACAAAATAAAATCCTCACCTGCACAGTCAAGCGACAGCACTAGCCATGTGGCCGTAAATCCACAGACTCAAAGACACCCTTGCCAGTAATTGGCAGTTGTCTGCTGTTGAATCACGACGTCATTTTGTGCCATAAAGCCCCTTGCCCCGCCATAACTGGCTTTAAATTCCCTCTATAGAATTCTCCAGCTGTGCTAATACATGTTCTTCAGCAGTGGTGGCAAGCATCGAAATGTGATTTCAGAAACAATTGCATTTTTTTTCTTATTGTATGAAAACTTAGAGGACGCCTTGTATCCTTTTCTTAGTTTCTTGAGCCTGCAGTTGTCTCACTACTCTTAAAGTTAATGCCTGGAGTTGTTTCACTACCACACACTACTCTTAAAGTTCATGCCTGCAGTTGTTTCACAACCACACACTACTCTAAAAGTTAATGCCTGGAGTTGTTTCACTAGCGCACAGTACTCTTAAAGTTAATGCCTGCAGTTGTATCACTACCACACAGTACTCTTAAAGTTAATGCCTGCAGTTGTATCACTACCACACACTACTCTTAAAGTTAATGCCTGCAGTTGCATCACTACCACACAGTACTCTTAAAGTTAAAGTCGAGAGGATCAACTCCACTGCAGCGGGTGTTATTCCACATGGCTGGGACTTGAGAACTGACATTCCCATAAGTGCTCCCTCACCATCTTCAGCAGTTACAATTCTGACGGCACCAGTAACAATCTGACTATATGTCTGTCTCGCGTTGAGCGTTAACCAGATCCCCTGGGCACTCCTTGCTGCCCCATTCTCTTCAAGGCCCTCACAACATCTAGCTTGTCAAGTATCAATTCACCATCTAGTGGTGCACAACCAGCCAATCTATCAGCATGTTCATTGGCAACACATCTGTATGTTCCAGGGAAAATACCTTCATGATGCTAACTATCTGGGACATGTGAAGCGATGCTTGCCACTCTGCACAGAGCATACATGTCTTCACCACTCTCAACATGCTGTGTGAGTCAGTTACAATCATTTCATGTGTGTATAGATGGTTCTCAAGTTAGCAAGACGCTGCAGGGACTGAAAATATGAAAATCACCTTTCTAAACATGCTCTGTAGGGAAACTGCGTGGTCTCGAGGCATGGTGTCTGCCTTGAGTGCTAGAAGTTCCCAGTTCAATCCCTGGTAAGGGCTGGGATTTTTTCACATAAACTTAGACTTCTAGTAATTCCCCCTGGTATCTTGGGTAGTGAGATTTGAACATGTAACAAATTCCTTGGCAGTTGGAAATTGAAAAGAGTAGCCTAACTGCGCTGCCCTGGCAAAATTTTGAGCTAAAAATCTACCCAAAGTATTTCAGGATCCTTGCCAGTGCTACAGAGCCTGTGCACTGTGCTGAGCTTTTTTCAGACTTGACTTGAGTTAGAAGAAGAACAGAGCACTTTTTGTTACTACCTGTGTGCCATAATGTTGATCCGTTGTTTCAAACCTCTAAACATGCTTTGTGAATGATGTATTGCTGAAGAAAATAATATCAGAAGGATAGCCCCTGCTGCCAGGCAACCTAATGTAACTATTATGAAACTTGTTACATTATAACATTTGTAAAGTATAGCTTGTTGTTTCTTCTTTTCTTCATCTGCCCTTAAAAGTGTGGATGGCACATTACTTTGTGGTTTACAGCTAGGCTGTGATATTTGTGCCTTTCAGCTCAACTCATCCAGTTTCAGCAAACTAATTAGTCAACTTTGACAAAAAGCTGGTTAAGTACTTAAAAAAATACTGCCATTCTTATTTTTGTGATCACCGTCTGTGGAGTTAATGCAGCATATACTGTTATAGTGTAACTTATTTTGGGTACTGTTTTCCCCATTGCAGCTCTACTCACAATCGATTCTACTGGTTAAATCCCTACAGTATTAGGGTGAGGCACTTGAGTATCAGGAAATGACATCATAAATTATTGAACAACCACATTCGAATACCTGCCAATAGTAACACTTTAAAGCTATGATCAATTATTAAAACCCCGGTATACAGTAGTGATATTCTAAACTAATGGTTACATGGCACTTGGAACATGATGTAAATACACAAATTTAATTACGGTGAGCAAATAATTAATTTCAAAAAGTCTACAGTCATTAAACATACATCCTGTATTAGGTTGTTATCACAACAAAATGGGATGAAGAACGATATAAGAATCAACAAAAACTTACAGAACACTCCCTGCTAGCACTTGAATGGTTTCCTGCCCATGGTGCTTACAGTGGAGGCTGAGGATATACTGGAGGATCTGCTGGGTTTGCTGGTACCTGAAAGTCTGCCTGTTGGAAGATAGGGTGTATAGAATGAACAAGCATCTGGGTACTCTGCTGGGTTTGCTGGTACCTGATAGTCTGCCTATTAGAAGACAGGGGGTACAGAATGAACAAGCATCTGGGTACTCTGCTGGGTTTGCTGGTACCTGAAAGTCTGCCTATTAGAAGACAGGGGGTACAGAATGAACAAGCATCTGGGTACTCTTCTGGTTTTTTTTTCCCCGTTTCTATGTGTAGGATCATATCATCATCATTCATCAAATCCATGTGTGGGTTCTGGTGTCCCATTGTGAGGAAAACAAGAACAGACCCACTGCCTCCCCAACAAGCATGTTACAGGAGTCAAATAATTGGGTGCTTCCTTCAAGGTCGGAGTGCATCTGTTTGACAGGCAAGGCAACAACAATCTGCATACAAATAAGTCAGATTTGTAGAACGGATGTGCACGCAATACTTGGCTTCTGGAACAAGACTAAAGTCCAGAGGTGCACAGACAACCAGAACTCTGTCGGAGTTTACAGCAGGTGAACACGAAGAAAGAGAAGAAGAAGAAGAAGCATAAACAAGCATCTGTGAAGTCTGCTATTATTTTATATGTGAAGGACCATATCATCATTATCATCACTATCATCATCACCACCATCATCACCATAATCATCTTTATTATCACCATCACTATCACCATCACTGTCATCATCACTACCACTATCATCATCATCGTCACCATTATCACTACCATCATCATCATCAAATCCCTGCGTGGGTTCCTGGACCTCATTGTACAGACAACAAATATAGCCCCCCCCCCCCCCCCTCCGCCCCCCCCTCCCCCCTCCGCCCCCCCCCCCTTTTTTTCCGCCCCCCAAAAAAGCATCTCATACAAGTAGACAAATTAAGGGTGTTTTCTTCCATTTCTGGGTGAATCTGCCTGAGAGGTGAAGAACCAACATTCTGCATACAGATAAGCAAGATCTGTAAAATGGATGTGCACCAAAAAAAAACCTCAAGTTCTGGAATAAGTCTAAAGTCCAGAAGTGGACGGGCAACAGAACGTTCTGCTGGAGTTTACAGCCGGGGAACATAAACCAGCACCAGAGCTGGTATACAGGCGAACCGGCCACTGCCCTAAGATGTCAGGCCATCAGAAACCCGTAAAATTCTGAAAACCGGTTTTTCTCGGGGCGATGACGTTAATTCAAACATATTTATCTTAGGAACAGCTAAGAGTAGATTTCAGGAGTTACTTACTTCCTATACTTTTATCCGAAGAAATATTATCCAGCTGTACAACCAATTTATCTATCAACTCTGGGGTAAAGTAATCCACATTTTCCAAGATGACAGGTGGTGGTTCTTTGCTTTTTGTCCTCTTCTGGGTTTGCTGTAACTCTTGCAGAATGGATGCAGGGATTTTCCCTGTGATAAGGCCCTCTGGGAACTGCTTGTACGCTACTTTCAAACCTTAGACATCATTCAAAGAGATAAAAAATGTGTCAAAAATTAAAATTAACAAATGTTATGTAATAGACCCCAATGTTCAAATGTGGATTTCTCAAAACAGGGATTTAGCACTTGGGGAACACTAGCATTATGCTATGTACATGTATGTATGTGTGTGTGTGTGTGTGTGTGTGTGTGTGTGTGTGTGTGTATGTACATATATATATATATATATATATATATATATATATATATATATATATATATATAAAGTCTCCAGAGAAGTAAAGGCAGCCGACGTGATGCTGATCACATCATCCATCTTGTGCCGATCGGTCTATAAAAATATAGGTCTAGCCCTATATGCCTAAAGGTGTGGAAAAGAAACCTTTACTTTTTTTTTACTTTACATATACAGTCAATCAAATAAGCCCAAGCAACACCGTGTGTGTTGATTTAGAAGTCCGGATCTTTCCAAACAACACTCTCTGCGTCGATCATTTGCCCCATATATATTGATTCGCATACAGATCCATATTCATTTCTAATGTTCGAAAATACCAATAAAGTATTCAGGGTAGGTTACTCTAAAGTTATTCTTTGTACAGAAGTCTTTGTTCGCAAACCTTTGGGCACAAATTGATCTGATTCATTGCTAGCATCACTTTCAGACAATGCATTTTCTGATTTCATGTTTAAACTGGCCATGCATACCAATATTCCGAACACAAGCAAAGGCCGAAAAATGTGCCCTTCTCTGGCTTAAGCTCTGAAATTGTTTCAATCAGATGTTTTCTAATTCTGATTATGATAATGACTAACATAAATTTTTCGGAAAAGTGATGGTAAATTTACACCAGCGGCAGCTGAGCTGTCAGCTGTTTGTTCTGATGAGGCAAATCCAGGAGAACCCATTTCATTTGTGAAGGATGTGATAGTCACCAACATCTGCATCCAAAGAACTCTTTCAGACACTACCATACTCATACTATGGCTAGGCTGCATTGACATTTTTGCAGCCACAGTCTGTATATAACTACAAAGTTAATATTTGTGTGTATAGGTGCAATTTTCCACCGTTTTTTCTTTGATATTTTGTTTAGCACTCTATGAGAACCTTGAACCTCTGAGTGATAAACTGGCCCAGAAACATACCATAACTTTTGAATTTGTTAGGAACCTGAACAAACTTTAAAGTGTTATTCTCAAATATGAATATTCTGTTTCCTACTAACAATAACAGTATTAAACAAAAACATATCATCAGATACAAAATTTACATTCATTCCTCTTTAAAAAATGTACACTTTTGTAGGGATTAGAAAAATTTTTAATTCTAATTTGCCTTTCTGTTTTTTTGTCTTGTTTTTGTTTTACACACCAACTCTGCCATTTTTGTAAATGGAAATTAATGTCAGCCAAGTCTGTCAAATTCATGGACCTGAAAGAGTTAACCTACCAAGAGACTAAGACATTAATATAATTTAGTATCCAAGAAAGGTGGCTGGACAGTCACACAAATATTCTACTCAAGACTCGCTTCATCGCCTCTCGAGATAGGGACAATGTGCTGTACTCAGACTGAGGACAGGGCAAAACAGACTTTGTCCCCATATGTTCACATTTTTTGGTGTAGGAAACATGGAGAAGTGTCCCTGCAGCGTGGCACCCAAAAATGCTGAGCATGTGCTTCAACACTGTCAACTGTATGCTGACAACAGAGACGCAATCTGGCCTGTTCCAACCACAGTGAAGACAGAGGCTGTATGGTACACTGGGAGATATGGACTGCGCGATAGCTTTCATCAAGGCTACAGGCCTCCTGATATAAGTTTTCTGACAGAAGGATCAAAGAAGAAGATCAAGTAGTCTGCCAATTGATGTGGGAAATCATGCCTCTCCACAATCTGTGATCTTCAACAGCATTAATCAGTTTGTGTTCTGACACCCCTCCATGCCAAGACAAAGGGCTGCCTAGAAACTTCTTGCATTGTCTTCCTCTATTTTTCCACCGATCTTTCCTGTAGTCCCAAAATGTATCAGTTTTCTTCTCATAATGTGACCAAAAAATGATGACTGCCTCTTTCTGAAGTTGTGGCAAGTTGTCTTCGAACCCTCACCTCTTTCAAAACATCTGAGTTACTCTTTTGTTTGCTTCTCCGTAGAATTCTAACAATTTTTCTGTAAAACCACATTTTCAAGGCCTCAAGACATATTTTAGCTTCTTTATTAATTGTCAAGAATTCACAGCCGTATATATGTTAAAAATGGCTGTACATAGCATGCAACAATTCTTCTTCTAGTGACATGGATTCATTGCAAGAAATGTTCTTGATTTCACAAAATGCAATATGTGTATGTGTGTGTATATACGCATGTAATGCAGATAAAGATAAAGAAACTGACAGATATATTAAAAAATGAATACAAAAAGTAAGAGGTGCTTTCATAGTGTTAGGAAATTTGTGGTGATCAAAAGAAATTAAAACTAGTCCTAAACTTAAAATGTTTAATTTAATGTCAAATCAGTACCACAGTACAAAGCAGAAACATGGAGAACAACTAAAAGAATTACCAATAAACTACAAACATTCATTAACTGGAGGGAACTAAACGGCATGATAGAATGACTAATGTTGAGCTTAGGGACAGAACTAAACAAGTTCCAGAGGACCAAGAGGTGAAGAAAAGATTGGACACACGTAGAGAAAACTGAGAACGATATATCTAGAACGTCTTTTAACTGAAACCCAAAGGGGCATAAAAATAAAGGAAGACCCAAAAAAAAAAAAATGTGGAGAAGTGAACTAGAAAGCAAAATTTAAAAGATGGGGAGGATGGAGTGAGCTGCAGGCAACAGAGAAGGATAGAACGACATGGCATGAGTTGGTTGCGGGCCTATGCTCCACTGGGGGATAGAAGGCAGAAGAAGAGGAATATATATATATGTGTGTGTGTGTGTGTATATGTGTATGTTTATTTACACATACACATAAACAGGTTCTATACCTCCAGACAACATGAAGAGATTGTCATATCCTCTCTGTACCAGAGTCGTACAAGCTCTGTGGCTGATTCTCTCATCTTCATCATAGACTAGAATGATCTTTCCTGGCTGGTTTTTCTACTGACAGTTAAGGTCATAAACTTGTACTGATGCAGAAAGGTCAATTTATGGGAAGTATTTTTTTAAAAAATTAACAATATAGTATTTCTTGGCAGCATCATATGAAGGGGTCTCCGTGATGAAGTGGTCAAGCCATTTAACTTACACTGTGAAGATCATGGGTTCATTTTAATGTGGTGTGTTCTTTTTACAAGTGCCATTTTTATAGAAATCCCTGGAAGTGGTCACAAAAGCTAAGGGGCTTTGTGTGACACTTTTGGCAGGCAGCTAACTATACTGCGGAGAGAGATGAACCATATGAGATCAAACCCGGGGCAATGAAGCCAATTTCCCTCAAACTCTAGCAATAAACGAAGTGGCTGGCCAAGTAGTATGAATGCTGGACTCTTCATTATGATCTATATCTATCTATATTATCTTTATGTCACTGTTGACACATAAAGCATTTAAAAATGAAATCTCCATTATTGCTGGTCCTTGGCTTTTCTGCCCATGCTATCCCATGTCCTTTTACATTCCTTATTTTCCTTCCTGCCATCCTTCTCGGAGTTTCTTTACATCATCCACATCTAATTTTTCAATCTGATGTACACCGGACAGCTATCCTCGCCAAAGTGTCAAGAGGCATTTTTACAAACATGACCAAGCTATCTCCATCTTCTTCCTATGATAACATGTGCCAGTGATGAACAGTTTGTCTGCCTCCTTATTTCTTCATCTGTTATTTTGCTTGGCCAAAATATTTGATCTGTCAAAAGTAAAGCCATTATTTGTATAGATATGATTCACTTGTTTTTTTATATATATATATGCGTGCGTATGTGTTTGTGTGTGTGTGTGTGTGTGTGTGTAGACAGATAGACAGACAGAAGATAGATAGATAGATCTATCTCCATCTATATCCTCTGCATGAGGCTGCAGATGCACTCCAAATTCTTCCTATGATAACATGTGCCAGTGATGAATATTTTGTTTTCCTCCATACTTCTTTATTCGTGATTTTTGGAATTACAGATCTATCTATTTACTGATCTATAAAAATATTGACAAAGCATTATGCGATAATGGTGTCAGAGAGATTTTTAATCATCAAGCCAAAATTAAACATAAGCATTTACTTCACTTTTCGTCTGTAAACAAAGCACAGTCTATAGATAAATATGAACTATGCTTAAATGTATATGAAAATATGACAACAAATTTAAGAACTCGTATTGAAAAAATATTAAAAAGGATTCATAGTTCAACATGTCCTTTGTCTCATAGTTAACAGATCTTGCCAACATGGCCGTGGGGTAACTCTTTGCTGTGGAAGGTAAAGAACAACAGAAAATCAAAATATGCTGATAATTATTTGTCTGTTGTCCTAGAATTCAATGTTGCCTTTTCGTATCAAAAGAAAGTTTATTTGTAATAATATGGCAGTCATGGTGGCATAGTTGTTAGTGTGCATGCTTTTCCTTTAAATGATTAGGGATTGATTTAATATAAGACATTAAAAAACCACCATTCAGAGTTATGCCACAATGAAAGATGATTAGTCTGAGAATAAAGATCTATTTTATGGGCAACTGAAGCATGAAGTAAATAAAATTTCTAAATCTGAATGTGTTTTATGATGCTCTCTGACAATATAATTTAAACAGCTGATGTTCCAAGTCTCACAATTAATGAAACATCAAAAGAGAAAGCAAACTGAAGTACCTGGGTATCATTTTAGAAGCCTGTCCTTCAGGGATCATGTGGAGGCAGTTGCGGGGAACTGCCTAAAAGGACTCAATGCTCTCAAGATTATGGCAGCAATGGACATTGAACAAAGAATGCTGTTCACAATGTTCCAGAATGTGATAGATTATGGGCATGGAATGCTTACCATATCAAAGTGTCAGCTGATGAAACCTGAACACACACAGAATCGAGCCATGAGGGTAATTCTGGGATGTACAAGAGATACCCCAGTAGTATGTATGTGATATATACTTGCACTGCAAAGTATTACAGATAGATTCAAAGCGATGCAAGCAAAGTCAAATCCCAGAATATCTGCACATAAGAAACACTTCCTGCATGAAGCTGTAGACAAAGCTAAGGGTTACTGACTGAAAAGAGGAAGGTCTTGGATGGTGCAAGCTGAAGACACAATTGGGCATGTGTGCAGGCTTGATAAAGGTAGGCAAGGAGATGAGTGGGTCAGAATGTCCCAGCAAAAGTCAGACTTGTGTTGGGTTCTGATCACACTGGGTAATGAGTGCAGGGACTGGCCAGAGGGCTCTGCTGAATCAGAAGTTAGGAAATGATTCATGACTTTTCTCATCCAGGTGATGTGATAATTTATACAGATGGCTCTGTGTTGAGAGTCAAATGAAGCTCATGGGGGTTCTCAGTAAAGGTGAATGGAAGTTGCTCAGTGCAACAAAGCCTGGCACATGACACCACAACATCTAGTCTGAGAATGGAGGTAGAGGCAGTAACTTCAGCCTTTTGCGAATCAGCTGCACACTCATTTCATAAGTGTAACCAACTCACAGAGCATTTGAGAAAGGTGGAGCCCGGTATGCTCCGTGAAAAGAGGCAAGCATCCCTTAAGAGGTCTCAGGTAGTTAGCGTCCTTTGGAGATTTTCCCCAGGAAATGCTGGCGTATTCAGAAATAAACAGGCAGACAGATTGGCTGGTTCTGCGAAACTTGATGGTGAACTGATGAATGACAAACTAGATGTTGTAAGGGCCTTTTGGGGGGTGAGTGAGCAGTGCGGAAGCACAGATGGATCATCACGGTCTAATGAGAATGGTACTACAAGGAGTGACCAGGGGATTGGGTCAACGACCAACACTCAAGGGAAAGGTGAGACTATTTTACAATCAGACTGCTATTGGTACCACTGGAATTGGAACTCTGGGCTTGCTACTGAAGATGGGAACTGAGCGCTTGTGGGAATGTCCCGAGTTCCATGATGTCGATTCCTAATTAAACATTAAACCTGAACCAGTAATAGTACAGGGAGATTTCAATGCAAAAGTAGGTACTGAAAATATGGGTGTTGAGAGAGCTATGGAAAAGGAAGGAGTCAACAACCATTATAAGACACAGAGGGAGTTGGCGGCTAGACGCCCGCCTGTGGATAGGGACGTCGTGGGTTCGCGTCCTGACGGAGCCGGATTTTTTTTTTTCCTAAATGACCTTGACTCCTAGGTCGACTCAGCCTTGAGTGGGTACCACATGCAGTCCTGGAAAGTAAAGGCGGTCAGGGTGGTGCTGACCATATCCACCTGCAAGTGCCGATTGGTCTATACAAATATAGGTCTAGCCCTATATGCCCAGTACGCCTAAAGGCCTGGAAAAGGGTCCTTCACCTTCCATAAGACACAGAAGATGGCACTATACTGGACACATTCTGAGAAGAGATGAACATAGGATCACCAAACAGGCACTGAAATGGGAAAATGAAAGACTGAGGAAACGGGGATGTGCGAGAGAAACAATAAAATGAAATGGAGAAAAAAAACTGCGACCCCTGTGTGACATATGAGGGCATGATAGTACATTGAATGAAAGAATGCGTTGTCAGGGCAGTGACCCCTGTACCAACATCAGCGAAGAGCAGATTATTTTTGGGGAGCTGTGGGAGTGCGATGGCTGGCATCCTCAACTGCTAGTCCCTTGGTGATGGGTTTCGCTGTGCTTCCAGGTGGACAATACATCTGTAGGTCAGGGGTCATCAATGTGTCGACCGCAGTTCACTAGTTTACTGGCTAGCCATGAGAGGTAGTCCATAGTGGCTTCTGCCCTTATTATTTATTCCTTTATAGGTCCTCTTTATTAGTCTGACTGTAGTCTATAAAGCAGACCACTTTATTAGTCTGTCTGTAGTCTATAAAGCAGACCGCTTTATTAGTATGTCTCTGTAGTCTATAAAGCAGACCACTTTATTAGAGTGTCTCTGTAGTCTATATAGCAGACCACATTATTAGTCTCGTCTCTGTAGACTATAAAGCAGACCACTTAATTAGTCTGTCTCTGTAGTCTATAAAGAAGACCACTTTATTAGTCTGTCCCTGTGCTCTATAAAGCAGACCACATTATTTGTCCCTGTACTCTAAAAAGCAGACCACTTTATTAGTTTGTCCTTGTAGTCTATAAAGCAGACCACTTTATTAGTCTGCCTTTGTAGTCTATAGAGCAGACAACTTAATTAGTATGTCTCTGTAGTCTATAAAGCAGACCTCAATTCTTCTTCTTCGTATTCACCAGCTCTATAGTCTGAAGGGAAGTTATGATTGTTCACCCACTTCTGGAATTTGGTCTTGTCCCGAAATCCACACAGAAAAGCCACCAGAATATCTGAAATAAAAAGTTCTCAAACAGGCAAAAAACAACAAAATGTTAGCCGATTTGAGAATTCAGATTTCCGAATTTTTGCATCCAAGGTGAATTAAACATGTGCTTCACCTAGGCTCACATCTTCTTCTTCTTCTTCTTCTGCCTTTAAACTGCCAATGGAGCATAGGCCTTCAACCAACTCACGCAAGGCTCATATAAAAAGACCAAGACATGTCCTGGGAAGTAAAGGTGACCAGCATGATGGTGATGGTCACACAGTGCTAACTGGACTACACCAATATGGCAATAGCACTATAAACATAATGCCCTTCCAGGGTTGAAGTCTTCACTGTACATAATTTATTTTAGTTAATACTTTTCATATGGCTACCATATGCTTTAATTGCATGCTAGATATGCTGATGGGTTCTAGGACATTCTGAGTTTTTAGAGGGACAAGATGACCCACGCCCCCCCCCCCCCTTCCAGGGTTGAAGTCTTCACTGTACATAATTTATTTTAGTTAATACAGGAGCCCCATTTTTTAGGGAGGGACAAGAGTAACTAATTAGGGGTGTTTCCTTCTGCCTGAGAGGCAAGGAACCAGGTCTGCATTAAAAAAAAACCAGACATTTGAACTGGATATATGGGACAGGACAAAAGTCTAGAAGTGGATGAACAACCAAGAATTTCCATGGAGTACTCAGCTGTGAATACTAAGAAAAAGAAGAGAACAAGAAGAAGAATTTCTACTTGGGATGATAATATTAATAATTTATGTTTCTTATCCCTGAAAAAAAAAAAACAGACCGGTGTATTTAGACTGCTGAGCTGGACACTACAGATTCCAAACCCACATGTACAAGACATAGAAGATTGCGGAATCTTTTCCATATGGACAAGCACTCTATGATATCGAACATATGCTGGAACAGTGATCTACATCAGTGTTTCCAAAATTGTTCTTAGTCGAGTCACCTTTATTGTAATTAAAATTTTTCCACAGTGCCCTAACCTAAGTAAAAGTATGACTATTCATATGTAAGAGATCAAAACAAATAAAATCTAATATCATCTAATATTTCTTGGCGCCCCTGTGAAGAGGTTGTGGCTCCCCGGCACACAGTTTGGGAATCACTGCTCTACATGAAACAGAGATATTTCAGAATTGCCAGTTGGCATTCTGGTAAAAGCCAAGCTGTATGGATCAGTGGCAGACACCACAGTTTTTATAAAGGTTCATGGCCTTGTCACCCCAAAATCCCTGGCAGGAAGAATGAAAAGAAGAAGATGAAGGTTTTAAAATGTACCTGTAATGATGTGACATTCATCATATGAATCCTTGTCCCTGACGTCCAGCAGAAGATAGGGACAGGAAGAGCCCATCATGGACAGGGGCTTCGCTCTCCAGGATGGGGCATTCAGATCCACTTCTCCCACGCCATTTATTACTCTAAAATACAGAAGAAAAATTACTCTAAAATATACAGGCATTGAAAATATACACCCCTCATCTCTTTTAAAAAGTATAAGATAAACCTTTAATAAAATTTAGTCTATATCTTCTTCTTCGCATTCACTGGATGTAAACTCCTGTGGAAAGTTCTGAGGTGTTCATCCACCTCTGCACTTTCATCGTGCTCCAGAAACTGAGCGTTTCACAGATCTGGCTTATCTGTATGCAGATCTGTTGTTCCTTGCCTCTCAGATATATGCACTCCGACTCTGAAGGATATCCCCAATTACAACAACATGCTTGTTGGGGAGGCAGTGGGTCTGTCTATTCTTGTTTTCCCCACAATGGGGCCCCCGGAGCCCACACAGGGATTTAATTTTTATAATAAATTGTTCATCTTGATCCTCTTATACCTTGCAGTGTCAAGGCAAAGTATAATTTATAGGAAAGTGCCACTTTGTGTGCTTCATAACTGGGGATTCCCAGGGACTGTTATTCTCTCTGTCCATGTTTTGCACGGTCGGCCTCTGCTTCCCGCCTGGTCTATACACCACTGTTGTTGAGATATACTGCTTGTTGGCATCCGCATCATATGGAAAACCATTTCACTTGTTTTCTAATAAAATCCAGAGCTGCCGCCATCACCATATTTCCTCACATTTTATCATTTCTAATCTTAACATTTTCTTGTTTTATTAAGAGCCCTTCTTAGAATCCACTTTCAATAGCTGTAATTTTTTTTTTTCTTTTCTATCATTGTCCAGCTCTGGCATTGATAGCACAGTGTTAGCAAGAAAACTGTGTCATAGGGCACTGTTACTTATAGATTATTTAATACAATAAACTACAGAAAAGAAATCTCTATTAAATAAAGAGACGGCAATAAAGTACATTATTTATTACTCTTGAATATAACAAGAAAACTGGAGTGAACGTGATGACTGACTGTTGGAGGGGAAGAAGGCAGAGGGAGACTATAAGATATTTTGCTGGATAGTTTGACATCATGGCATGGAGGATCATCTGTCAGAAGACTGAGGAAAGACATGACTATCAACGCAACATGGCATGCACTATGAGAAGACATAATATATATACTGTATAACCTTATTAAAAACAATTACAGAAAGACTTATTTCTCCCACACTGTTTACTAATTTATAATACAGAAGAGAAATCTGTAATAAAGTCGAGAGGATCAGCTTCATTGCACCGGAGATCCCACACTGCTCAGTCTCTTTCTATAGAACAGCTAGCCGCCTGACGCGAGTGTCACATAAAGCATACACACTGTAGCTCCAGTGGTGATCCCCAGTCATTTCTGACACAGATGATTCTCTAAGCCATAATCAGTGATTATTTAATAATATGATACTTACAAAATAAAGAGGCATCTTCTTCAGCATTCCAAGCAACTGAATTTTCTTTCTATTCGAAATGTTTTTGTACAGGAACCCACAGGGGTATAGAAATATAGGAAGACCAAAAAACACATGGAGAAGAGAGCTAGAAAGTGAAATTTAAAAAGATGGGGAGGACATGAGAGGAGAACTGCATGCAATAGCAAAGGATAGAACAAATTGGCGTGAGTTGGTTGAGGGCCTATGCTCCAATGGGAGTTAGAAAGGCAGAAGAACGCTGATTTTGGCAGATATCACCCGTCCCCATTCATCTGATTGGCCTTCTCTTTCCAGTTGGTGACACCCAGTGTTTGTAGGTCTGCATGTAAGTTACCTCTCTGTCTTCAAAGTACGCCTTGTGGTCTACTCTCGTGTAACTCTTTTTTTCAGCACATCTTCATTAAAGATAAGAATAAAGAAAGATCTACTTCTCCCACATCATTAAAATTACAATTTGTTGCTGTCACCTACCAGTTAGCCCCACTGCTTAGACACCCAGATGTCTCTCTTCCAGCAAAACAGCAAATGATTAATAGCATCTTTACACCTACTTTATGTTATCAGTGCCAAACATGGACAATGAATAAGGCATTAGAACAGAAAATAATTACATGTGAAATGCGCTGTCTCCACAAGGTCACTAACAAAACTAGATGAGACAGGGTTACAAATACCAGCATTAGAGAGAAAGCTGGCATAAGACCATGTCTGGATTATACTGACAGACAAAGAATTAAATGGTTCAGCCATCTAGTGAGAATGCAGCCACACCAGACTGATCATGAGACTTTATACAGCAGAACATCTGGGAGAAAGGCGAGAGGAAGACTAAAAAAGATATGGATAAATGGTGTAGCTGAAACCTGCAAAAAGATGAACAAATCCATCACCCAAGCCACCTGAGAAGTGCAAGACAAATACAGAAGACCACCAGACTGGGCTACAACCTGGTATCAGTGAGACGACAAAACCACGACACTGGGCTACAACCTGGTATCAATGAGACAACAAAACCACGACACTGGGCTACAACCTGGTATCAGTGAGACGACAAAACCACGACACTGGGCTACAACCTGGTATCAGTGAGACGACAAAACCATGACACTGGGCTACAACCTGGTATCAGCAAGATGACAGAACCACGACACTGGGCTACAACCTGGTATCAGTGAGACGACAAAACCACGACACTGGGCTACAACCTGGTATCAGTGAGACAACAAAACCACGACACTGGGCTACAACCTGGTATCAGTGAGACGACAAAACCACGACACTGGGCTACAACCTGGTATCAGTGAGACGACAAAACCACGACACTGGGCTACAACCTGGTATCAGTGAGACAACAAAACCACGACACTGGGCTACAACCTGGTAACTGTGAAACGACAAAAGAAGAAAAAGAAGGGTGTTCTTTATAGGATGTTGCAGCACCAACCCCAGCATTTTTTGACTGTTTGTGATTTAACTAGACAATTTTACGTTACAGAAGTTTGCCACTGCTTCTGAGCAGTCGGCTTTCAATACCACTGTTGAAACCAGTTCAATGCAGTCTGCTGCCAAATGATCAATGAATAGGATCGAACCTAGCACCAAAGAATTATGAAGCGCATTCACAATGCCTAAGCCACAAACGCTAACCAACATCATTTGTTGCCCTTAAACAGAGAAAAATCTGTAACAAATAAAGAGACAAGAGATAATATGAGCCCCTACAATTCTAAACACTACTTGCTGCAAATACCCTTACTGTTCTAATCGTGACCTGCCGCTGTCTGGAGCAGCCGAATCTCTGGGTGAATTTTCTGCAGTCTCTCTGCTACTTCCATCACTCATCTGTATCTTGGCAACCTCCCGATCCGCTGTGTCTGGTCGGTCAGCTGGAAACAAACATAAGTAACTCTAATATTCACAAGAAATATCAGTCATACAGCTTGCAACACCTGGGACTAAAAAACAACCCTCTGCTCCCAAGATCCTCCTTGTGTGGGTTCCGAGACCCTATTATAGGGAAAACAAGAATAGACTCACTGCCTACACAGAAGCATGTCGTAAGAGTCGACTAATTGGGAGCTTCCTTTGAAGTCGGAGTGCATCTGTCTGAAAGGCAAGGAACCAGTAGTCAGATCTGTAAAATGGATGCACAGGCAACACTCAGGTTCTGGAACAGGACTGCAGTCTAGAAGTTTATGAACAACCAGACCTTTCTGCCAGAGTTTACAGCTGGTGAACGTGAAGAAGAAGAAGAAGAAGAAGCTCCTAAGATGCCAGTATTCTGGCACTGCCGCTAGCTACAAATCCCTATTAGTAAAAATTCGAAATCAACGAGTTAAGTGATACCTGCCTGGGACTTAAAGAGTTAATAAGGCAGTTAGCAGGTGTATTGTGGTTTACAGCTAGGCAGCGATATCTATGCCTTTTGGCCGAACATATGCAACTTCAGCAAAACTGTATTTAGTAGCCTTTTCAGACATGCATGTTAGGGTGCAAAAGGCTAATTAAATCATAAAACTATAGACAACTATAAGAAAGAGGCATTCAGTTTTCTTTTGTCTTGTGATGAGAAGAGAGGCACTCAAGAACATCTTGATCACTAGAAAGATCAATGGGAGATAAATTCAGAGGCAGACCAATACAGATGGACAATGAACAGTGGCCTGAGGTTATGACATGGCAGGGTGAAGTGATGGCATGGTGGCCTGAAGTGATGGCAGGGCAGCCTGAAGTGATGGCATGGTGGCCTGAAGTGATGGCATGGTGGCCTGAAGTGATGGCAGGGCAGCCTGAAGTGATGGCATGGTGGCCTGAAGTGATGGCATGGTGGCCTGAAGTGATGGCACGGTGGCCTGAAGTGATGGCATGGTGGAACATCATCAGTGGAATTGATTTAAAATACCAAGGACTGAGGTCTGCGGAGAGACATGAGCGCCTATGCCACTAGGCAGGTTACAAGATGATGATAATGATGATGATGATGTTAGAGTGATGTGGCTCTATTTTTTTTCTCTGAAAAACAGGGACACAGAACCCACAAGGGAGGCAGCTGAATCAAACCTAGTATGTTGGAATTATGAAACTGCCTTCATAACGATGAAGCCACAGACAATAACCGACTTCTGCATACATCTGAGAATACTTACATCTTGGTGATGGGTTGTCTGTGACCTCACTCATGCTTGTGTCAAAGTCTGCCACCTGAATAACCTGTATTCATAAAGCATAAAATTAACTGAAGGCTTGGGTAGACAGGAAAGTCTTACCTTATAATTCAACTCGCAGCCAAATTTACCAACTTTTTAAAAAGGGATTTTCTTTATTTTTCTTCTTGTTGATTTAATTAGCTGTTTTTAGGAATTCTCTTTTAGTTCCATACAACCCTTTTCTTCTTCTTCTGGTTTTTGCTTTCTGATTTACACCACCAGACAAGTTCTTGTGATACACTTGAATATTTTTAGGAGTTCCTTTTTAGTTCCATTCAACTCTGAGTGCTGTGTTGACTCACTGGGCCAGTATTCCCTTCTTAAACTCTATCACAAGAACTTGCCTGTCAGTGTAAATCAGAAAGCAAGCACAAGAAGAAGAAGAAGAAAAGGGGTTTGCTAGAGGTTTTTTGAAGAAGAAGAAGAAGAAGACGACACACATGCACGCACGCACACACGCACACACACACACACACGTATTTATTCTAAATTTGGTATGATTAAATATGGTGATCAGAAAGAAGTGGCAGGGCAGTACTATTACCCTCTGATTCAATAGTCATGTGTTAGAATCCTAATTTAGGTCAATTTTAACCCTTTGAAGACGACTCAGCCGAAATATTGGCCCAACACAAAGTAGCCAAAAGGATGAATGGGCCGATCAGTCGGCCCGATATAATACAAGCCTTGAGATTGGCTGGCAGTTTTTCGTACCAGCCACTCAGATTGCTTCTCACACTTCTTGCACATGTGGGCTGTTCAGTGACAGCTTTCGAGAAAGTTTGATGCATTCTGTAATTTTACATCTATTGTTTTGTGGGGTTACCTGGGCCCAACAATGGTGAAAAAGCACTGTTGCGTCATAGCAATCAAAACATAGCAGGAGGCAGGAAAAGGAGTAAAATCATGTTCTAGAAGTGTCTGAAGGGCCTCCATGGGCCTTATGTCCTAAAAAACAGATGCATAAAAAAATGCACCCAAATTTTTCAGGTTAATCATGTTTGTTCAAGAAGTTTTAAAAAAAAAATTGCTTGCATAAATTATGCAAATCAGAATAGTTAATTTGAATAAATGTTAAGATGTTAGTTTGATTCATAAATATTTTTTCTATTAGCTCATTAAATTTATATATAGTTTTGTTTATTATTTATTTTTGATAATTTTATGTGTGTAAACTGAGAGAATCCCCTCCTGAAGGCTCCATCTTTTTTGGCACTGAAACTCCAAAAAGGCTCAATCTCCAGAAGGTTTAAAAAACTGACCTGAGCTCCTGAGTGAATCAATCCATCAGACATTCAGTCAGTTGCCCTCTCTACAATGCAGGCTTGGCTACAATGGATCTCCAACATTCTTCAACATATGAATCCCAAATATCAACTTATGTACCCTCAAGAAGCTTATATCCTTTATTAATCTGCAATCTTCTTTCTTCTTCACGTTCACCAGCTGTAAACTCTGGCGGACAGTTCTGGTTGTTTATCCACTGCTGGACTGCAGTCTTGTTCCAGAACCTGAGTGTTGTGTGTGCATCCGTTTTACAGATCTGACTCATTTGTATGCAGACCGCTGGTTCCTTGCCTCTTAGGCAGATGCACTCCGACTTCGAAGGAAGCTCCCAATTAGTCTTCTCTTACGACATGCCTTTGGGTAGGCAGTGGGTCTATTTTTGTTTTCCCTATAATAGGGCCCCGTAACCCACACGGGGATAATCTGCAATCATTTAATTTAGTCCTGGAAAGTAAAGGCTGCTGGCGTGATGTTGACCACATCACTCACCAAGTGCCAATTGGTCTATAAAATACAGGTCTTGCCCTATATGCCCAGCAGGCCTAAAGGCGTGGACAAGTTTTTTAAAACTTTTAATCATTTAATCTAATTTACTGTTAACAGCCCACTCACCAGCTGCACAAATGTAGAAATCTTCATCCTCTTAAAAATTTCATCTGGTCGGAAATTATAGTCTGAAAAGAACAAAAAATACATACGTCAACAGCTAATGAAATAAGTGCACTTCGGCAGGAATTAACACATATATGGGGAAAGTTACATATTAAGAAATCTGGCTGAGTGGTTACAATAATCGGCTCTGGTGTAGGAGACACGGCTCTGAATCCTCAAAAAAAAAAATATGACGAATTGACATCATAGCACTCGGGACATTACTATAAGCGCTCCATCCTCATCTTCAGCAGCAAGCAAAGAGTTCGAATTCCAATGGCACCAGGAACAGTCTGACCGTATGTCCGTCTCACCTTTCCCTTAAATGTTGAGCATCCGCCAGAACCCGAGGGTCACTAATCACAGCACCATTCTCCTCAGAACGTGATGATCTATTTCTGCCTTCACAATATTCACTCACTCCCACAAGATCCTTACAATGTCTAACTTGCCCTGCATCAGTTAGTTCACCAATGAATGCTGCACAACCAGCCAGCATATCTGCCTGTTCTCAATGAGGTGATAAAAATGTTTTCAGCTGGGGGTACAAATAAACATCATCACCTGATCAGTTTATGGCTACCCATGTGGATTCAGTGACCCCACTGTCGAGAAAACAAGAATAGACCCACTGCCTCCCCAACAAGCGAGTCGCAAAAGTCGACTAATTGAGAGTTTCCTTTGAAGTCACAGTGCGCCTGAGAGACAAGGAACCAACAGTCTGCATGCAAATGAATCAGACCTGTTAAATGGATGTGCAGGCAAAACTCAGGTTCTGGAACAAGCCAAAAGTCCTTAGGTGTTTGAACAACCAGAACCTTTTGCCAGAGTTTACAGCCAGTGAATGCGAAGAAGAAGAGTTCATGGTGACTGCACTAGTCATGCAGTCCTACATCCTCAGGTCATGACCTCCTGTCCTAAACTGTCATAAGAAGTGGTAAATTCAGACAGTTTAAAAAAAAAGAAAGTTAAAAGTGGGTCTATTCTCTTTTCACTAAAATGGAACTCTAAGAACCCGTACAGGAACATTATTGAAGTTGAATAAGACAAATATGAAGCATTTTGCATTTTTTTTAATAACTGGCCACTTACTTCTCTTAAGCTCCTCCATTTTTTCCATGTATTTTGAGAGGCTGGCTCCTGAAAAAAAAATGCACTTTTTCCATTACTACAGACGAGTGGGCACCATACTTTTTTAAGTAAAAGAACATGTAAACTTACCAATGTGAACTCAATAAAAGCTTATTTAAAAACAGTACAGGATTCATTTCTATGCTTTGATATATGTGAGCATAAGCTGGTAGACTCAAGATTTTATAAAGTGATCAGCATTGTATTGGTGATGGGGTCAGTGTCACGCTGGCATTACTTGACAGAACATTGCCTGGTACAGATAACAGGCTGACTTGACCAAGATCAACTGACAAAATTAACCTCATTGAGAATTCAAACCAATGACAGCTAACTACTGCCACTGCTACTTCATATTCTACATCATCAACATATTTTATAAGCACAATCATCATCAACATCATGTGCCCTGCCGACTGGCATAGGCGTTCATGCATCTTCACAGATCTTGGTCCCTTGTCCTATGGATCGTTTCCATAGATGATATCGATCCAACGACCGTCGGAATCCATCCGTCATCATCTCTCTCGGTCTGTCTCTCCCTCTTCTACCATTGATCTTCCCAGTCGTTACAATATTCTCCACAGCCTTCCCCCTCATCACATGACCAAAGAACTGAGTATCTGCCAGAATAAGTACAATCTGCTCAGGATCTGCACCTGAGCAGAGACGGGCACTCACTTTTCCTGGAAATTGCTGTTTAAGGGAGTGGTTCAAATACCCCCGGGTGGATGTGGAAGGCAATGGGAAACCACCAGGTTATATTCCCCAGAACTTTATGCAACAAAACAAAACAGATTAGCTCAATAGTGAACTATATTTAAAAGATTAAAAACGCCCGGCTCTCTAGCGTAGTTGGTTAAACCTGACATTGCAGTGACCGGGTGATGAACTCCTTGTGATCCAGGTTCACTCCTGGGTAGGCAGAAAATCCACATTTCTCCCAGATTTACGGTACCTATCATGGAATCAAGGCCGAAGGGTTGCGATATCCATAGTATCGAGCCAATGGATTAAGAACTCATGGTTTCTGGATATTTTAAAAAAAAAAAAAGGTTAAAAATCATTGAAACATATAAATGTTACAAATTTGAACTGCCTGTATTAAACGTAACATACACACCTGTATCCACTGTAGCTCGAACATGTTTGTATTTAGGATTCTCAGGTATCTTCTTCTCCAGGGGCTTCAATAAAACAGAAGTTTAATGTATCAAATTATAACATGTATGTTAAAAAATTTAATAATTAAAACACATTTTATAATCAATTTATAAGCATTCTTGTTTATACAAATGCACAATATGTAAAAAATTAATTCATGTGTATATTAAACCACACATGGTGGGTTACTAAATCTTTTATGTTTGATCTGACAATACTAAAGAATTCTGGCTAGATATAGAATGCAACAATATGCATGCTTATGCAAGATTTGATACATGTTGCCTCTCTGAAAGTCATATAGTTATGATTTCATTCTGACTTTTACCTTCTTCTGGGATCAAAATAGTTAAATGGGTCAAGACCCTTTTCTAGCTAGACATCTCAGTGGCTAGATGCTTGTCTACTGGCTCAAAGGTGTTGGGTTTAAATCCAGATCGTGATGGATTTTTTTTTAAAAATAGCCGAAACTCCCAAAGTGAGTTCATAGACCCCATTGCCTCCCTAATAAGCATGTCCTAAAAGTTTACTAATTGATGTCCTTCAAAGCTGAAATGAATTTGCCTGAGAGGCAAGGAAACAACAGTCTGCATACAAATAATCAAGATATGTAAAATGTATGTGCATGCAAAACTCAAGTTCTGGAAGAAGACTCAAGTCCAGAAGTAGATCTTCTTCTCTTCTTCTGCCTTTCTATCCCCCAATGGAGCATAGGCCCTCAACCAACTCACGCCAAGTGGTTCTATCCTTCGCCATTAAATAGAGCTCTCCCCATGTCCTCCCCATCTTTCTAACTTCATTCTTCAGCTCTCTTCTCCATGTGTTTTTTGGCCTTCCTTTATTCCTATGCCCCTGTGGGTTCCAATGCAAAGAAGTAGATGACCAACCAGAACCTTCCTCTGGAGTTTACAGCCGGTGAACGTGAAGAAGCAGAAGACAAAATCAGCTTATAATTGGTAATAGGAAATATTCTGAAAAACGAAGATGACTTGCATAATGCTGCCATCATGTACTGAGTGCTGATTGTCTGTGAAGACATAGCTCTAGCACCAGAAGTCAACTGTCCCAATGACATGAAAACGGTCGTTTACTATTCATCTTGCCATCTGTAGATGAGTGGATGAATAAATGGATAAAGAGAAGGGCAGTGCATGAAGAGGATTAAGACAGAAAGCTCAGAACCCAACAACCTGGTCCAGCTGGATCTTTACCAAACTATCTACACAAACTATCCACACAAACTATCTACACAAACTATCTACACAAACTATCCACACAAACTATCCACACAAACTATCCACACAAACTATCTACACAAACTAATTTACAAACTATTTACACAAACTATCTACACAAACTATCTAAGGTTAGGGCCTTGTGGGAGAGTGTGTACAGTTCGGAGTAGCAGATGGATCACCAAAGTCTGGTGAGATTGATGCAGGGGGGGTGATGTGAGGTTCCGGCAGATGCTCGAGGCTCAAAGGCAAGGCAAAGAGACGGACGTTTAATCAAAATGCTACTGGCACCATTAGTATCGAAACTCTTTGCTGGCTGCTGAAGATGGGGACGGAGCACTTATGCGATGCTCCGAGTGCTGTGATGTCGGTTCTTGAATCAAATCAATCAATCAAATATACACAATAAACTGTTACATGTGTCATCCCTACTCTCATAGGACTGCAAGTTACACGTGCTAGGTGTAACTGTTATGGGTGCTTTAATTGTTTTACTTTCTGCATTGTTGGTCTGTCATCCACACTGAGGGTTTGAAATATCAGGAAGGTTTGGTAAACTGAAGAGAGTGCTAAAATGTTACATAGAACCTGTTTTGCTATATGGCAGCGAATCTTGGAATGTCAGTGAACAAATTAAGAAGAATTTGAAAGCAACAGGGATGTGGTTTCTGAGACAAATGTTACGAATACCTTGGACGGCCAGAGTAACTAACAACGATTGTTTGAAAGAAGCTAATGAAAGTAGATCTCTATATACAACAATAAGAAAGAGACAAACACTGTTCTTTAGCCACATAATGAGAAGAGAGACATTGGAGAACATCGTGACAACTGTAACGATCAGTGGAAAAAGGGGTAGAGGCAGACCAAGAGAGATGATGCTGGATGGGTTGAAACAATGGCATGAAGCGATATCATCAAGACAGCTGTTCCAGGCAACCAGGGATTCATTAGGTAGCAACCTGGAGGGACAAACTGATTGATCAAGTGGTTGTTATAATCATTTGTTATATTATTTATACAGTACTGCTTTTAACATTTAACTCTTTCTGCATTCTGTTCAGTTAGTGTGATATAGTGCTATTAATATTATGCAAGGATATTGGAAAGAGCAGGTATTACAACAGCTCTTCTCTAAATAACAGTCCTAGATTATCGAGGCTAAGAAAATACCCTAACAAGGCCTCAGTCATATGTAAATTGCGGATTTCTTTCGGGCGAATATAATACAGCAAAAGTAGGATTAATTTCCAGCAATTACTTCACAAAATGCAAAAAATAGTCAGGGAAATATCACCATAGCAGGAAGACCATCCGCTCTGACGCAGATTACGAATACTAAGGGTATTTTCTTAGCCTCGATAATTTAGGACTGTTACTTTGGAGAAGAGCCCAACAGTTTTCTCAATGCTCAATCTACGAATGCTCAGGTGGCTGGGTCACACCCGGAGAATGGAGGATGGAAGAGTCCCTAAGGACATTCTCCACTGTGAATTACAGATGGGTAAAAGATATCAAGGCTGACGTACAATATAAAGATGTGTGCAAGTGGGACATGAATGACACATGTATTGAGGCAGATTCGTATAAACAAAATGCCATGGACTGTGTTGTTGGGGAGAGGGCAAATCAGGTTTGGAATGAGAATAAAGAAGAAGTGACTGCAGAAAGTTTGACGGCTGAGTGTCTGAGAAGAAAAAGACTAAATACAAATGTTCACAACCATCCTGAAATCCCATGCTCTTACAGTGGAAAACATTTCTTAACGCAAGCATGTCTTGCTAGTCACACTCGCCATCGCCATGGACTGTCATCCGGTGCGTCTTCATAGCCCAATACAACACTATCGCCTGGAAAGATGGAAAGGTGCCAACAAATATTCAGCAAGACAAGCTAGACTTAGTCAAAGCCCTTTTGGCAGGAGTGGCCCCTAGTGCTGCAGGCAGTGACCAGGGGATCTGGCCAACACTCAGGGAAAGACAAGACTAACACAATTAAACTGCTGCTACTATCATCTGCACTGGAACTCTTCGCTGGCTGTTGAATGTGAGGAAGAAGCATGTAAAGTCTGAGGGCTGTAAGGCTGACTCTTAACTTAACTCAACCATTATATTATAACTCTTAATAATCAAAATGATTGGCTCTCCTCCAAACTTCTACTCCAGCTAAACAAATACCCCAGCAGGGCCTCAGTCGTGAGTAAAATGTGGACTTCCTGCGGTCAACACATTGTGGCAAAACTAGGATTACTTGAAAATTTCAAGAGACGCAACACTGCAGACGTAGTAGCAGATGATAATAGCGACTGTTGACAATTTCGAGGTTTTCTGCAGGCGATAGTAGCAGACGATACTAGCGACCATTGACAATTTCGAGACAAGCAACATTACAAATGATAATATGGAGATGGCAGGGAGACCACGCGCTCCGACGCACATAACCGGTAGTGTTCTTCCGATTACATTAAACTCACCGCTGAGCATATATGCATAGCGGCGTAGATGGGGATCTAAACTAGATGCCTAGGACTCACAAGCAAATAAATTGGAGGAAGCTGCAGGAGAAGCAGTAGCTGCTGCTCGTGAGTCCCAGCCATCTAGTTCAGCCCCCCATCCGTTAAAAGCGTAGCGACGTGGGGGATACTGTCGGCGGTGCAGCATAGTTGCAGAAAAAAGTCCGCAATTAACATTTCGCTGAGACCCTGATAGAGCATTTGTTTATTTCGAGCCGATCCTAGTTTTGCCGCGATTTGTCCCTCGCAGGAAACAAGTCCTCATTTTTCATAGGACTGAGGCCCTGTTAGGGTATTTGTTTGGCCGCCATAGTGCCAGAGTAGGGTTTGGGGGAGAGCCAAATGATTAAATAAATGAGATTGGAATCGGGAGAGTTACACTTCAGTTTTAACTCTTTGAGGCCCACACGACGGTGTGAGCGTTGTTTGAGAGGGTTACATTTTGCCCAAACAACAGTGTCATCGTCACTCATAAGTTCCTTATATTTTGCTTCGCACACGGCTTCGTACTAGTTTCTAATGTTTGAAGGTATGATTTAACTATTCAGGGAAAGTCACTCTGCCAAAATCCTTTTAGTTTCATTTCCTGGACTAAACCACACGTGGATAATTTGAAAGAAAACACAGCGAATTTTCTTTTTAGCAGTTCATTTTTTAAGTTCGTTTTTGAGTGCCATGAATACCACTGTTCCAACTACAAGTATAGATCGCAGAATGCGTCTTTCTGCTGCCGAAACTCTGAAATTGTTTCAGTCAGATGTTCTTAATTGTGATAATGATAAAAAACATTTAGATTTTTCTAACAGTGATTCGGACGGTGAATTTTCACCAGTGAAGCTGAGCGATCCGCTGTTTGGAATCTAGCGATTCTGATGAGCTTAGTGTAGGTCGGGGCAAAGACCCGCGTGGGGCAAAAACACGCAGTCCATTTAGATGTTCCGATTGTTGTTTTTTGTGGCCGGCTTTAGCTTGGCCGACACTGGCTAGACGGTATCACGTGGGTTGCCAAAATTCATCCAAGTCCTGCTGTCACCAGCCAAGAAAATGAGGTCAGTTGCTTTTTTCAACTTTTAATGTAATACTGTGACTCTTGTCAGTGCACGTTCACACAAAAAGTTTGCAATAAAGCTGTTACTTATCTTATTCATCAAAAAGTAACACATATTAACAGTAGAAATAGACGTGACCTGTTGAGGTTATTTAGTTTTTATTGGTTAAAAGTTACGAATGTTAAATTATGATAAAATGGGGCAAAAACCCGCAGCCTGGTGGGGCAAAGACCCGCGTGCGTGTCTTTACCCCATGAATGCGTGTCTTTACCCCATGAATGCGCGGCATTGCCCACGAATGTGAGTTTTCCCCTTATCATCCTCAGTTGTTTACAATATGATTCTGTTATTTATTTCCAGGAATTACAAAAGGAAGACGAGCCAGAAACCACTCACTGAATCCTTACTGAACGAAGCCAAGGCTCTGATAGAGACGGGTGTTTCTATTAGACAAGCGGCCAAAGTGATCGGTTTCCACGAGTCAACGCTACGGAACAGATTGAAGACTGGTGTTGGAGCAGAAAAGCTGGGGCGATTCCAGACTGTCTTTTCCAATGAACATGAAAAACAGTTAGTAGAACATTGTAAAGCCCTAGACCAGCGATTTTTTGGATTAACCCTCAAGTCTCTCCGGTTTCTGTTGTATTCTTATGCAGAGAAAAATAACATACCTCATCCCTTTTCCACTGCAACAAAGCTGGCTGGAAAGGATTTCACACATTCCTTTATGAAAAGAAACAGACTATCATTGCGGACACCACGAAAGACGAGCATTGCAAGGACAATGGGCTTTAATCGACTGCAACTGGACCAATACTTTGACAACCTTACGAGTGTTCTGCGCCGGTACAAGTTTACACCCGACTGTATCTACAATATGGATGAAACAGGGACTTGACCGTCTTGTCTTCGGGAGAAAGAAGAGCTGGATTGTGCTTTAGAACTGCAACCTGGTGACTTTGCTGTCGTCAAGGTGCATGGAAAAGCAAAAAACTCTTTTAGGTTGTATGTGGTTAAAGTTACTGATTGTGATGATGAGGGATACGATGGTATCTTCTACAAGCGAGCGCCTCTAACTAAAAGGTTTACAGAAACAAGTGAAGAGTCCTATTTTGAAAAGGGAGACATTGTTTTGAAACTTTCGAAGCCAATTTTCAACAGTTCAACCCGATTTAAAAATATGATCAGTTTTTCAAATGACCTCAGTGATTTTTTAATTTCTTGAATAAAGAATGATTTTACAATAATTTTTTCCCAGTCTTATGTCATTAATTTTACAAATGGGGCAAAGACCCGCGGCTGCGGGTCTTTGCCCCATCGCTGGGGCAAAGACCCGCAACGTATAGATGCCCAGAAAATGCATTTATTTTGATTATTAATAAGAACACAGACTCAGTAGCCATATACATGGCGGGTAAGTGGCTAAACTATATCCACTTGAAGTTTCATAGAATACATGCGAACGGTTTTCCAGAAATTTGTAAAAAACATGAAACTGCGGGTCTTTGCCCCGACCTACCCTATTACACAGACAATGTCCCATACTACCGTATTTATGATGTAAGAGAAGGAAAGTGCTCTAAACAAAGAGACAGTACTATACTATGGCTAAGCTACACTAAAATCATCGCGGCTACAGTCTAAATAACTGTACAAAGTAAATAGTAAATAGTGTGTGTGTAATGGCTTATTTTTCTGCCATTTTTTCTCTGAAATTTTGCTCAGCACTCTGTGAGATCTAAGAGCTCCTGAGTGCTAAACTTACCCAGAAAGTTATTATAACTTTGGAATATGTTAGGAAATTGAACAAACTGCGAAGTTTTGTTCTCAAATTTGGATATTTACTACTCTTGTGGCTGCAAAACCATGGTAAGTGAAGAATTTATTTGTTAAATGTTGTCCTTGTGAAATTAACACCTGCTGAAATCTTCTTTCACACTAACTATAACAAAATTAAACAAACACTTATCATCGGATTCAAAATGTACATTCATTTCTCTTTTAAAAAATATATACTTTTATAGGGATTAGAAGTATATTACAATCTCTACAGCCTTTCTTGTGCACCCACCCCTCTGTCATTTTTGTAAAGGGAAATTAATTTGGGCCAAGTCTGTCAAAATTCATGGGCCTTAAAGAATTAAATGTTAGCTTACTCTAAGTACTATATTATATTAATCGAATACTAAACTCCACGGCTATAAGTTGTGTTACCACGGCAGTAGTAAGTAGCAGCCGGTTTAGTTCAAAACAGCGATGAGCCAGAAAGAAGGACAAGATGAAGAACTGTGAAATGTAGTCAGAAAGGTAGAGCTCGATTGCAGTTAACCAACTTGGTTATATTTTGCGGGACAACTTACACAAAAGTATGCATATCCAGATACACGCACTAAATTAAAGTATCGGCGACTACAGAATATAACAGAGTGGCATAAAAGCACAAACAAGGAAGCATACGTTTGGAGTAGAACGGCGTTTCCCACGGGCAGACATCTTGTTGATGGTTACCAAGCTGGAATGTTGTTCAGAGTTACTCCCCTTATCTCTTCTCCAACAAGTTTTTTCCGCCCTGACATGTCATAAATAACTTTTTAAAATCAGGGTTGCAATCAAGTCATCTCTTTGTGAGATACAATTTTTCATTATTTGAAGCCCTACGCTGGCTCTTGCCAAGGGCCGCAATATGGCCCTGTTTCCGAGACCTCTCCACGAGTGATCCTCATCCACATGGTGGCACTTTGTGTCATCGGGTGTTTATCGCTTGTGTGATGTCCTGGTGGGGTAGACGTTTTTGTTTGTAGTTGTTATATTGTGAAGCTTGCTAATTTACTTTTCGTTCGGTTTTATATCTTTTCTTGATATTTTTATAGCTTCAGAGCAGTTCATTAAGTGTCCCGCCCGCCCAGAACTGCTACTATCTGTACCTGTCGCACTCGTCCATATTGTCCATTATTACGGTTGTATCTATGTAGTATTGTTTAATTTGTATTGCTGATGAAGGCTCAATAGTCGCAACGTTCACGTTTTGTTTGTATTTGTTATATTGTGAAGCTTGCTAATATACGTTTCGTTCGGTTTTATATCTTTTCCTGGTGGGGTAAAAGAAGATAGAGATAGTTAGGTTTTAAATCAGGTGTTGCAGAATAACACCACCACTTCTTAATAAAGACCCAAGATTTTCAGAGCTACCAAAATACACCACTTCATGGTGAGAACCGTCAATTTTGTTTCAGACAGTGGTCAGTACAGCTTTGAATATCTAGGCTCAATAAAAAATTGCTGTTGTGTGCTATCTGAGATACACTCTAATCAGCACACTACCAAGTGTCTAAAGATGTAACTTTCGCTCCCTCACTCTTGAAGTAGGACTCGATGGTAATAGTTCCGTCACATAGCATCTTTAATTGACAGAACATAAGAGGGTATACATCAGCCCTCACATCAACAAAACTGCAATGACGTAGACATTGATCACAGTTGACATTTGCACATAGTCCATTTGTCCTCACTCGCTCTCTCTCAGTTTGTGGCGACCTCTCCCTGACGACTACAGCTCCAAGGCCTACAGCGTTCCACACTCTGGACACGCCGTACCGCTGAATAAGACAAATTCTCCTATCCACTGGACCTTAATATTATTTCAGCAGACAACCACGGCTGACTGGAGATGGACGGACTTCCCTTGCCGTTCTCCGCAAGCACACAGCTCTCGTCAGCTTGTCGAAGAGCTCTAATGACCGACAGGACTCCTACCATAAGTCCCCTCTAGCACACAGCTCTCGTCGGCGTTACCCCCTGTTCTGTTTCACTAGTGGTCCTCCTACGTTTCACTACTTACTTCGCCAGCGGGACCATACCTTCGACCAGTACCGCAACCTCAACACTTACTCAGACCTTAATGTCTAATAGTCGCACGGTATTCTGTCTGTCTGCACTCCGTACCACAACATTTACTCAGACCTTGATGCCTGATAGTTGTACGGTACTCTGTTTGTCCTAAACCCTTACACAGACCTTGACGTCTGATGGTCCCTCAATACTCTATCTTGGACCCTGACTGGCTCGCAGCACTCTCGTGCTGGGTGTGTACTACACCCGCTACAGCTCACTGACCCGGACCGTCTACGCAGCCCCAATTTATCCCTGTCAAATCCATATGAGTGGATGATGTTTACACAAGAGGAACGTGTCGGCGTTCTCGTGAATCATGATCCTGTGGGTGTTCTCGAGACGCTCATGTGGGCGTTCTCCAGGATCCCGCTTATGTGGGTGGCTGATGTTACCTGAGAATCACGCTGTCACGTAATTCACACTTTCTCTGTTTAACTCGTTAGCCATGCTTCCAGCCCCCACACCGTAACCCATGCGTCTACTTTTTCTCGCGTGTGCACGCCTTGTGCGTGATAAATACATTTTCACTGGTCAACATTCTCTCCCCCTCAGTACTCTGCCAATGTTGACATTAATTCCCCGTGAACTCACAGAAAGTACTCTCATACCACTCTGTCCCTTCACACAGTATTACACCCTCAAATTAGCACGCAACAATTACACTGGAGACTTTGACATAAATTAAAAGGACGATGGCCATGGCAATGCAAAGATTGAACAGCCTAAAAAGTATGTGGTTAAACACCAGCAAGGAGATCAAAATTATAATTTTGAGAGCATGCATCTTCCCTGTGTCTACATACGGATGTGAGTCTTGGACTATCTCTCAGTACTTAAGAAAGAGAATATGCGCTTTTGGGGTGAAATGCTATAGAAAGATTCTCAGAATATCTTGGACAAAGAAGAGGAGAAATACTGACATCTTGAAAGATCTGAACATCAAGAAAGATTGGCTAATAAACAGTATCCTGTCTCGAAATATTTTGGTCACATCAAGCGCCACGACGGATTTGAAAAAAATTATAGCAAAGGGCATGGTACCAGGAAGGAGGGGCAGGGGCCGACCGACACGAAGATGGATACAGGATATAAGTGACTCCTTGATTAGTTCATGAGGCGGGAGAGCTGGCGAGAGACCGAGTTTCTTTCAGGCAGATCGTGACGAGGGCGACGTTCTGCTAAGGACCTGCTACCTAATGATGGTCAGTACAGGCATTTCTTTCCCTCTGAGAAAAACCCCCGAACAACGGAATGTTGAATAAGGAATCGACATCACAGCACTCAGGATACCCACATAAACGCTCCGTCCCCATCTTAAGCAGCAATCGAAAAGTTAAAATTCCGATCGTACCAGTAACTGTCTGATTGTATATCCTCCTCGCCTTTCCCCTGAGTGTAGAGCATTGGCCAGATCCCCTTGTAACTCCTCGCAGTGCCATTCTCCTCAGACCGTAAAGATCTTTCTGTACCTCGGCACTGTTCACTCGTACCTAAAGGGCTCTCACAACGTCAATCTTGTCATACCAAGTGGGACAGAACCGGTCAGTCTATCTGCCTGCTCAGTTCCAAACACACCAGCATGACCTAGAAAAAATATCTAAAGGATGCTAACTACCAGGGACCTTGGAAATGATGCTTGCCACTCTGCACGGAGCATGTCTGTCTCACCTTTCTTACCGTGCTCTGTGAGTCAGTTACAGTCACGGCATGTGTGTACAGCTGATTCTCAAGCTAGCGTAACTTTGAGCCTATCTGCAAAAGTAGGCAGATCAAGTATATACCACATACAAACTACCGTGGTCTCTTTTATACATTCCAGCATTACCCGCATGGCTTCAATGTGTATGCGTTCAAGTTTCCTGAATAATGGATGACAAGTAAAATAACGAAGGAATTAATTGTTACGGATGCCAATAATAATAATTTCAATAATAATAATAATATAAAAATAATAATATCATTATTTACCACTTGTGTGGTGTAGTCTTTGAACCTGAGGAATTTGAGCTGCAAGGATAGTGCTGCTGCTATGGACTGTGCAGTTATGACTTTCTTTTGAGGCCACTTGCAACCTGGTTGAAAAGTTCCCATGATTGTTTCTATGCAGGCAGAAAATCGTCCACATCATCTGCTCATTCCCAGCTGAATCATTTTCTTATCTGTCTGTTTTGTTGTCATTGTTTACTTGATCCCACTTTACTTGATTTACCACCTGCTTTTTAAAAATGTAACCATACACATAATTCATCTTTTAAAAATATTTGTTTCAACGAAGACAGAACAGAGGTGATGATATTCTCCCAAAAAGGAAGAACAACCAATATCAAAACTGATAAATTAAAGTTAAGGCAGGCAAAGGACTTTTCATATCCGGGGAGCATCTTTTTCAGAAAACTGAAGATAAAAAGAAATCCAACAAATATGCGATAAAGCCAGTCAAGTTTTAAGGCAAATGGCACAAGTTTTGAAATGCAAGCACTTGACACTGTCTTTAGAAGACAGAAAGAAAATAGTCACGACAGAAATGAAATGTTTAGATGTAACGAGGAAAGATCGACTTAAGAACGATGATATCATGAGGAGAGTCGGCACGACAACAAATCAAATGGTTTGGAGACGAAACAAGACTGGTCAGGGCAACACAGCGAGCAATATTATACAGATACAGCGGTAACAGAGCCAGAGGTCGACCGCGCAGAACATGCACCACAGAAATATCAGACGCATTGAAAAGTGTTATATACGAACGATCAGAAGGACCAGTTTCAAAGATCTCTTCCTGTCCTGACGCTGCGAGACATTCCAGGAGTAGATACAAAGAGGAGGAGGAGAAGAAGAAGAGAAGGAGAAGGAGGAGGAGAAGAAGAAGAAGAAGAAGAAGAAGAAGAAGAAGAAGAAGAAGAAGAAGAAGAAGAAGAAGAAGAAGAAGAAGAAGAAGAAGAAGAAGAAGAGGACGAGGAAAATATAAGAAGAAGAAGAAGAAGAAGAAGAAGAAGAAGAAGAAGAAGAAGAAGAAGAAGAAGAAGAAGAAGAAGAAGTGCGCGTGTGTGTGTGTGTGTGTATGTGTGTATGAGGGCCAATGTTTCCTTTGTGTCGACATCAGACCAAGACCTGCATCCCCCACCCCACTTGTCTCTTTAACGATGGTTCACAGTCCCCATAACCTCCTCTCCCGTGGAAGCTATTGTCCTGTTTGGAAACACTGTAACACAGTGTCGGTTTCCGGAACCCAGGATATTTCAACAAGAGATTAGAGGAGACGCAATGGCAATTATGTAGGTCATGCTGTGCTTACAGTTGTTTACGTCACTCACGAGCGCTGTCTTTCATTCTTGTTTCGTTGTAAACTTTTTCTGTATTGTCGTGGCTTTGACGGGCCATTCTCCAAGCTTTTCTGTTTTTTTTTTATCATCATATTGCGCCGTATATGTGTCATACAGGGCTGACTGTCCATCTCTCCATCTTATTTTATCCTCTGCAGTCCTTTCAGTGTCATGGCTGAAACCCAGTCGTAGCACATTTGTCCTGTCTCACTTAAAAGCCTCTTAAAGTTTCTCTTGGACGTACTCGTGTCGTCAATACATATATTTCCCATTTTAGTG